CGGCACGGGTACTCGGCGTCATTATCCTGATCCTAAAAATGTACCGGATCTAAACAGCGTATCCGGCTCATTATATTTTAGACTACATTTACTTACCGTTTGTGTTTTTCCTAATTACAACATACAATAAACTTCTTTTAAGATATATTTAAAATGCATTATACAAACAAAATGTATATAGTAATCAGTTGTTTTTTGACCCCTATTTATTGTAGATAAGCAAAGGTTACTTGTCAAGGTGGCAATGTGAGACTGAAAAAAGTTTAAATATTTTATTTACATTCATTTTGTTTAACAACAATCTTTGTCATCGGAGAGTTTGAATAGAGCTTCAATCTTTCTGGCGTTTAAAAACATTTTTTAATAGGCGATTTGAGATGTATGCTATCTTGAAATGAATTTTCTCTTGCGAATGCATCTTTAGTTGCATTTATTTTTAGTAAACGCGGAAGGAAATGACAGATTTAGACAAGGTCTTGTAGTATATTAAGTGATCTCCCGGCTTGTAAACACATACGGTACAGTTGCCAAGATCTTAAAATACACTGGATCGTATATGATTTACAACATTCCCCTGTCAACTTTATGAACACTAATAAAACTTCATTATAGTTGCATGTTTCATACTGTTTTTGATTGAGGAAAGTATTTAATCGAAATGTATCGATAAATATTGATTTCTACTTTAAGAAGTTTTGCGTTTATTAGTTTACCAAAACGTTATATATCTTAGACTAACATTATCTAATACGAGAGTGATTGTATTTTTTTATTTTATAATTATTTCGGAGATTCGGAGGTTGGTACTCTAAGAAGTAAAGAATAAAGTTTTAGTTGTTTTTAAAGTTGTATTAATTTTAACAACGAATTCTAATGATTGTTCTAAAGTAAAAGGTAGTGAGTTGAATTCTTGAATTAAAAACATTGAAGAGGCTACGTTGTTAGGTGTATTTACTGGTTGTGTAAACCTAAAGCAAAAACCTTGCTATCCCAAAAGCTCTTACATATATAAAACTAGGTGTCAAATATCAAAGATCATCGACGATCACATAAACCTAATTTTTGTATTCCTCGGGAACACTATTTTTTTTTGGATTAAAGGTACCCTATGTCCTTTTCTGCACCCCTGATAATGTGTGTACAAAATTTCATGATGATCGATTGAGTAGTTAAAGCGTGAAATGATAGCAAACAAACAAACTCATCACATTCTTAATTATAGTATTAGTTATTACGATTAGGATGACAGTAGAAGCAGTAATTGTAATGAATTCTACAATCGGAACCCTGAAAAAGAAAATTGTTGGATATTTTGTTACCATAGTAAAGGAAACGAATGTTTTCTATCTTTTTATTTTTGTTTACATGCCTGTCCTAGATTAGTATGCTAATAGATGCAGACGCTTATTAGCATCAGAATAATGGCTTAGTAACCCAAGAATATATAGGTAGGTAAGGCAAACATGTAGGTGCTTCTTATTAAATAATGTAATGAATTAACCGAACTAGTCGATTATCTATCTTATTTTACGATTAGATATGTGTAGACTTCTTTAAGTTTTCTTTAATATACCGGACTAATAGTTACAAAATAATGTCTTAGTACGTAGGCACCAATACTAAATTAATGAAGCTTTTTTTAGATATTGGAAGTTAAATAAAAATTACTAGTAGTTGTAAACCTTGACGTCTTCACTGTAACGTTTATGTGTTTGTTACGTAATCTTGTTTATTGCATTACATACTGATATATTTACTGTATAACGTAATGTGGCCTTCCGTAGTAAAAGAGTACATTTTTGTTTATTTGTTGTTGCTTTTTATTTGATTAGTAAAGTATTATTAGGGTCTTAACTGATGAACATTTTTGTTTGTTCTCAGTTGATTATATCTTATTTATTCATTTGAATTTTTGAGTGCGATTCTTTTCTGTGCAATGGAAGACTATCCGTTTTTTTTTTATATTGCTGGTTAAGTATCTTTTATGTTCTTTTAATCTGTTTGAGATGCCTCTCCCGGTCTGTCCAATATATGTCGCATTCAATCATAGTTTTACTGTAGATCTATTTCCAATTTTGTTAAGTGAGATGCTGTTTTGGCATAAATTATTTAATCTTTTAGAAATAGTATTACTTAGACCTGTTAAGTCAGCCCGAGATAAAAATGTCCAGTCTCTCAGAGTCTCTGAAAGCGAGACTCGAGTCTCCGGCTCATCAAGTTTCTCTGGTGTCGCTGAGAGAGACTGCCAAAAAACTGTTTAGCGTCTTTGAACGAGAAACTCCAATCTCTGAACGAGAGACTCGAATCTCAATAAGTGGTGTCTCGATAGACATGGTTAAAATTTTCTAAGTTCAACATATTTCAGAGATCCCAGTCTTTCACCGAGATTTTTCAGTTTTATTCATTCAGTCTCACTGTGAGAGACTCGAATCTCTGAATTAACAATTTTATCGTTCGAATCTCTCATACAGAGACTGTGAGAGATCAATAAAAACACCTAGGCAATAACTGAGAAACTTTGAAGGACTATAAGAGACGCTCTCAGAGACGCTGAAAGACTCTGAGAGACTGGAGAGAGACTGAAAATTTTTGTTCAGAGAGGTCAGGGTTGTTTTTATTTTTAAGCATGTTGTCTATTTTCTTCAACAGCACTTATTAGTACAATTACTATTAAATTTGTGGGATGTTACTTATACACATTTAACAGTACAAGTTGCGAGCCTCAGCTATGTGTAATTACTACAAACTGACCTAAATAATGTAAATACAATCATGTAATTAAATGCACAGTCATTAAGTTTCGCTTCACAATGGCCATGCATCATTAAGTGCTCGTAATACGGTACACCTGAAACTTCTACGAAAATCGACCCCCCGATCCGTTTATTCTCCCATTCTAAATTGCATGTACAGACACTATATAAAATACTGTACAAATTACTTATGTACTTTGAAAAGTGTTGTGTATACTCGTGTATAAATATACTGTGTTGTAATTTAAAACTCACGGAAGTAGTTATTGTGTAAGGTTTTAATGATCTTTGACCTCAAATTTTTGTAAAAATAGAATGTAAAGGTAATAGGTTGTTAAACGATTTCTTTTTGTTTTTTTTTTTTTAGTAGACAATTATATGCGCAATCGGTTTGTGCAAAATTTCATCAAGTTTGACATCTTCATTACAGTGTTAAAAGATTGATACGTACCTATATGAATAAATTATTTCTGTAATCATTCTGAAAGGTCTGCCCGATTCTTTAAGGCATATAACATGAGATAATATCAAATATCACCGCAGAGTGGTACAATATTAGGCATTAGACCCCTGTGGTGCGTTTTTAATTTTGACGCAGCTTGTTTAACAGATTGGCATACAGTATAACATAGTGCTATCTCAGACTAATGTACATTATGGTAATACGTAGATACCACCGTTTATAACGACATTGTCATTTGGCCGTTACAACCGTAAGTTGCTGTATCCAATTATTATGGTGTCGACAGTGGTCCATTCGGACCACACAAACTGTAGTGAGAGTTCTTGCAACATCAAGCAGCCATTTGCTTTCCGGAACAAATGTCGCTGGCCGTAGATTTAGACATAAAATATTTTAAATTAATGAAAACTTTTGAATATTTAAGTTCATCAAAGAGTGGACCTAACTTAAAAAATTCATTATATCTGGTGGCCACAGCGTCTTACGATAGTGTCTAGTAACGACCACGCGTGGCGATGGCTACTAGTGGCGACTGCAGGTGGCCGAGTGTGCAACCTACCTAAGAAATTCTGAACTCCAGAAAATGCAGTTTTAATTTTTTTCAAAAGGTGACCTGATTACCCTGACTTTTGAGTTTCAGATAATTTCTCGTACTTTGCTACATAGGTATTTTCTTTAGTTATCTTCTCTTAATTGCAGATTTTCATGATACAAAATATCAAAACTGCAGGTATACACTATAAGACGTATCGTGAAGAAAAAGTATCGTTGACGATCAATGTGCATATATCAAAATATGCTTGTTAGATACCTTTTTTCATAAATAATCAAATATGTAAATGAGTAATTGAGTGGGCTACACAAAAAACCGTTTAACTGGTTTTTCTCACATTGCCAATTGTTAGTCTGTAATAAATAATACTCTATACATCTAAAGTTTCTATAATTTGATAAAAAAATAATCGATTTTAATCTTTTATTTTGCTTATGCGATTTAGTACTGTGCTCGTTTGTCTACCAACTGACCAACAGCCTTTTTTTTCTGACCAATTGTCAGAGGTCGTCGTCGACCGAGTAATAACAAAACTGTCGCTTTTAATTTAACACTAAACGAAGATTGCTATAATAAAAAATTGACTATTATACATACACCAGCAGTTCATTCATCTGATTTTCAAGGCTATAGCCATGACGCGATGTACATAGTATATGACACGGTCGCCATTATCTGAAAATACTACGTAAGTAATAATCATAATAACAAATCTGCATACAATGCATGAATAAAAAATTGTAGAATGATAATATATAGTACGTGTTCACTTTAATATTAACCTACAATTTAAAGACAGTGAATTTAAAATTTTCAAAAAATTAGATTCTCAAAGAAATAAGCGCAGTTATCACTATTTTGCATTAAAGTTTGATTTAGAAGAATATAACTCAATCTGAAGACAACTATAAAGTTTAATTAGGTAAACAGTTAACATGAATGGAATGACTTAAGAATAACGTCCGAGTAAGTGTACGTTTGTCAGATATTTGAGCTGTGAGCGTAGTAGCTCTATAAAAGATGGCCGAAATCTTACTTTTCTGACCATTCAATTTTTTATTCTTTGTTAATGAACATTTTAACAATTATATTGCGATAATTGGACAATTCGAATAAGTAATCTAATTATTATTTGATCGAGTGTAATAGAAGTACCATACGCCTGTGTATGACAGTTAGTTCATGCTTGTAATGACTCAACACAACATTAATAAGAATTTTTTTATTTCAGATTATTCCCATGGTTCATCAATCTTTGGGTTACATAGGATTATTCTAATGAAGGTAAGCATTAATTAATTTTACCAACTAACAAAGTATTTAAAGTGTGTATTTGAGTTTTGTAAGTAACAAATTGGTTTGTGGAATTAGCGATTGCTTTATCTTACTTTAAAACACTGATAAAGTAAAAGTAAAACTTTCTAAAAAGTAAGTCAACATTCTGCACATTGTCTCACCAAATCAACAGATAATACTGATAAAATTTAATACTATTTGTAAATAATAAGAAATGGTTTACATACACAGATATTGCTGCCATTGTTATTTTTGCTTTCCATTTTTTACGTATTAGATTACAAAACAAAGGAACGTTTTTACAATAAACTAACTTTTTTCTACATGTACATACATATACCCACAAATATCTAGTTATCAGTTACACAATATACGACAATTTTAGGAAGATACAAAATTATATGACGATGACATAATCTCTAACCAATGTTGCTCTTGGTAGTATCGGCCTTCCTTTAAAACGATCAGCAATTCTTAATGAACACCAACGAATATTAGCAATTGTTTTATTTATTGCTTCCTATAGCATAAAGTATCCATTAGAGTGATGAAATAATGTTTTCAATGCCAAATGTGTACAATAATGACAATTATATTTATAGACACATTAATTATGATAGTACCTACTAAAATATGGTGGATTCACTTTAAGTATTTATTACTCAATTTTAACGAAAAATCTTAGTCTATTAAACACTTATTGCGGTACATGAGTACCTAATAAAAAATTAAATTGAACCGATTAATGTGTTGAAAGGGCTCCTCGTTTCAAAACGAAGACAAATCGCTTGTACATGTACATGACCATAAATTTTCGTACAGTCAGCTAACCATGACATACCTAACGGTTATTGTCTTACTTAACAATACAGGAAGACGACTTCAAGTTCCACACACTTCATTGTTTTGTGTGTTTCAGTTTCCTGCCTGCTTGTTTCCGAACAGCTCAAAGACAAACCAAAAACTTTCGTAAAACTATCATTAGTTTCTGAAATAAAGTATACATTAATAATAATAAAGACAGTACAACTGTAGGGATAGAAATATAGGGACAAAAGATTAGTACGCTTAGATTTGCAGATGATGTAGTAATATTAGCATCTAACAAGGAGGAGTTAAGAGATAGCTGTACGGGTGCGAATGATGAGCACACTGTGGATAGAGAAGGTTAAAAATGATGAGATATTAGAAAGAATAGGAGAACAGAGAACTCTATGGAAGTCAATAAGAAATAGGCATAGAAAAGAGAGTTAAGAGGATTAGATTACTCACAAATAGTTAAGGATGTGGCATGTTCTAGTTTTAGGAAAATGCGAAGATTAGCTCGAGATAGGAAAGAGTGGAAGTACGTATCCGACCAGTCTTAAGACTGACGACCTTATGATGATGAATACATAATAATAAATGCAAGAAAGTTTCTTTTGTCAGAACATGTGCAAATCGGCAGGAATGTTGCTCACTATCGCATTTTTTTTATCACGTGGCGATAAATTGAATGGGGTACGGTGTGCTTTGCCTCTAATAATAACATGGTGGTAGCATGATGCGCAAGTTTCAGCTACAAAATCATGGTCACCTCAACAGTGCGCCGGGGGAGAACACAGACAAGTGGGCGAGTATGCGCGGTCGGTACCGGTAAGGCCCGTTGCGTTGGGCGATTCATGGCGGCCTTTTGGATGCATGTCGTACACGTTCATGTCGTCGACGATCGTTGCTGCATTCCAATAATAATGCGGCACGTGGACGTCCAAGGGGGACAAGTGCGGTGGCGTAAACAAAGCAAGTGGCTGACAGTGGACTCCTACGTCCTAACGCATCTATATACTATGGTCACGTATGGAATGTCCAACATCGATCGATTTGGAATATCAATCGCTCACTTCATTGAAGTAGAGTCTTATTATACCATGAACCAAAATAATTTGGTAAATGCGGTGAACTGATGCTAGTCTTAAGGCTGTTGTAGTCGGTTAGGAAGCAACTCCAACCGATGATGACCTTTAGACCCGGATAAGGATAGCATCAGTTAACCAAAGTAATTGCGCTGATGCCCTACGGTTTGAATTACTTGGTTTCATTATCAATAAAAGTTGTATCAGCTACTGAAGTTGAATAATGAGTGATAAAATGTTAGAATTTATTTAATAATAGCCTGGCCTTCGCAGTTGAAGAAAAATGCGTGTACCTCTCTAAGATAATGTGTTATTTTGAGCACGTATTCGTTCTTTTTACGGTATCATAATTTATCTTTCGTCGACGATTTCTCAGCTTGTCGTTGGTAGAAGTTTGCGAAATGTCCTTCACTTCATCCTTATGCCAAATTTTCTACATAGGGAAGATGATGAATTGATGTTTTTATTTTGATTATGCTTGGATAGAAATATTATGGTTATAATAAGGTTTAGTAAGATTAAGATAGTTGTTTATTCAAAGAAGATTGAACTACTTTCGTAGGTAGATGTAATACAGAATCCCATGACTTTGAATTGCACAGTGAAATAGCTCCGTCCGTTGATTGATTTCTAATACCTCTTGAAAACGGTGGTCGTCACAGTTTACAGTTTATCTCTGTGGAACCTCATTCCTGATTGTGTTGTATAGTGAGACACTTGGTTATCAGTGGTTTCAAAATGATTGCAATAAGTTCCGCCTCTCGTGCATATGAAGACTCATGGGATTTTGAACTAACTATACTTTTGTAGCTGTTTGCACGCGTGTTGTGATACTTAACCGTCTAAATCGTAAGTTCGCTCACTCATTTTAGTAAAACCGTGGCTAGCGAAGCACATTTTTTTGAAATAAGCCTTTTGTAAATGTCAAGTATAATTTACTGGACACTTGGGACAAGTGACGTTGTTTAGTAACGCAGGCGTTGCATGTTTAATGAGTTTCCTTCTTTAACCTTTGTCACTCCCCGGTAATTCCAACTCATTTTCAGGTGTCCCGTGGGTAATGACATCTTTATGCGCAAGTTTTTTGGAAAATTGCAGGGTCCTGTAGGTATCTAAAAATACGAACGCAAGTCATGTAAAAACCACACATTGTCCGGGCGTTTATCTGTCACTGCCTTTTTTCTAAGGAATTGATAGTTGGCTGTTCAAAATTTCACCTTACTTACTTTCCAATAAGCCACTTCTAAAAAGACAATAAATGAGAAAAGGAACGAGGGTTTCCTATTCCATGTTGGGTCAAAAAAAAAGTGATTTTCTCTAAACTTTTGATGATTCTTGCACTTATGTTGTATGATCTCTAAATCTCAACAAAAACCGCGTGTTGCTCTTTAAGATCATCATAGAGTCATCTATTCAAAAATTGGTTGGACATGTACCTTCCTACTAGCTCAAGGTAGTCTTCTAGAACCTGGAGCCATTACACTTCGTTAACTATTTACTAACAATTTTCTAATCTCGGGTTTCCTCATGTCTCAAAAGAAGTGCTATCTTCCTATCATCCTAGCCCTTTGTTCTCTTACCCTTTACAATTCTTCCTCAATTCAAATCTTCTATAGCTTTACTTTCATCATAGTTGACGCGATACTTGAAGCGCGTTAACTAAAGATGATGGGCTATTTTATGACGCGATTGTAGCTACCACTAGCCCCTGGAAGACTACATTCAAGGGGTCGAAAAGCCACATGTGGCTCGCGAGCCACAATTTGCCGACGTCTGTTCTAATACAGCAGTAGTACAATAAAATGGCCTATTTTTGTACAGTTATAAAGACGCCCTCTCTCTCTCTCTCTCTCTCTCTCTCAGGTTCTTATATAATAAGGTAAACATTTGTATTAAACGTTTAAAATTCCTCTTCAAATATTTCGACCTAACTGCATACTGGTTGTACACAGGAAACATCGCTGACATTTTCTTGTTTCTCGATTTCTAATCCCTCCCTTAGGTATGTGTGTCTACATCACTGACATGACGCTCACACTACCCCGTGTTTCCATGGCAATCGTTGGTTCAACCCCACGCACATTCACTTCGGGGTATTTATTTTATCATGGTCCACATTCTCTTCGGGTACACATATGATAATTCAAACCGGCGGTAGGAAAGAAAATTTAAGAGAAAATAAATACCGAGCTTGTTTATAAAGGAATATAAAACACAATTTCCTTTTTTATACCGTTTATATAAAGTCGAAATTGGAAAGCAAGTTAAGTAGCTAACAAGAATTTTATAATGACTAAATAAGCACTGGTTAGAACTTACAGGGGACTCTATGGAAGTCAATAAGAATTAGGCGAGATAGGTTAGTAGAACTTCTTCTCGGGCATGAAGGTCTAGTCAGAGACATATTAGAGGCAGAAACGGAAGTCAGGAGGGGTAGAGGTAGACTTATATTAGATTACTGTTCGCAAATAGTTAAAGATATGGGTTGCTCTAGCTTTAGGACCGAGCGGTATGGCCTAGAGGTCTAGACCATTGCTTAGCATCCGGGAGGACGCCGGTTCGATTCCGGGTCCGTCTGCCTTGGTCCAAGTTTTTCTGTGGTTTCCTTGGATCACTTAGGCAAATGCTGAGGCAGTAATATTCCACAGATAATCTTTCACTCTCTTCTGTCTTCATTTCGTCCGTCTCATCTTTCTCACCCGAACCACCACCCACCCATTCCCACGATTCCTGAAAGCAGGCTGAAGAGGGCCTTCCGCCCTACCTTCCGGCATAGTCCGGAGGGACTGCCCGCCCACCAGCATTACTGGCTGGTGGGAATGAAACACCCAAAAGTTTTAAGTTTTTTTCTAGCTTTAGGGAAATGCGAAGATTAGCGCAGGATAGAAAAGAGTGGAAGTGCGTGTCTAACCAGTCTTAGGACTGACGACCTTATGATGATGATGATGATGATAAGAACATACAGAACCCATATGTTGACTAGTCAACACAAACAACAGGTTTTTCACCGCCTCAGTCAGAATGATACTGAATGAACATAATGCTTTACTTAATTTTGTAATTGTTTACCTTCAACTTAATGGAAGAAATACAGAG